GTGGGTGCGGGGTGGACAAGCTGGAGTGTCCAGGCGTCAGGGCTGGGTCCAGCAACGGCCACAATGCTGGTACTGTTGTACTTAGAAGGAGATGAATCTGGTCGGTGGCAGACCCAACCTCATACTGAAAGGGGCATGAATTATTTGCAAGTGCATGCCATGCTGGAAGTTGTGCTGAGAACCTTCCGAGTTGTGTCTCTTGGCTGGGTTTGTAATTCTGTGATTTCACATTTGGTACAAGACGAATAAATACCATGTTCCCACTATAGACTTGTTTACTGCTGGTGAACAGGTACCAGAGGCTACCAAGGCAGGGACCCATTTAGCATCACTTGAGGGGGTGCACGGCAGGGGCTGTTGTGCTGTGGCCAGCTCGCATGTCTTCCCCTCAATCCATGTAAACAGTGTTTAAAGTTTTCTTGTATACTAGCCTGTTGATTTTTTGAGGTTGCGTGCAGACCGTCTTCATCTTTCAGCTCACTGAGTAAGGCCCTTTCAGGGACAAAGACTGATTTCACTGTGTTATTATTTACTTAACACTAACAGTGTTGACAACAGGAAGCTGTTGGTACCATGATAATAGTCTCTTACCTCAACTCATGACATGCACACATATCCAAGATGCCATATGGCAGCAGAAGAGACAATTACTGGTTCCCACAGCACCATGTCCCACAAAGCTCTTTGGGGCCAGTTAAGCAGAGCTCTGTTACTGTTTAGTACTGAATTTATACAGTAGGTGCAAGATACCCAAAGGAATAAACAAATTAAAGCACCAACTCGGTATCAGACAGATTTATTGAAACCGAAGTGGGAACTAGCAAAGAAAAAAAATAATTCATTTGCTTTAATTATTGCATATTTCATTTCTAGGAATAGTAAATTTTAAAATGATAAATACATATTTCATAACAGTGAAGGCTTTGGCCAAAAAAAATATCATTTAGCACATTCTTTACATTACAAACAAACAAACAAAATGTTATAAATGTATGTTAAAAAGGGATTTCCTTTACTAAATTAAAGGAGTGCACACACCACCATGGCGCTAGGACTAACATCAGACACATACTCTTGGCTGTGCAAAGCAGATCATTGATTACAGTAATAGAAAGAGGTCAGGAGAACAAAAGAAATCAGAGGAGAATGCATAGCACTCCAACTTAGAGGTATCGACAGTGGTGACTTCTTGCAGAATTCAAGTCAGCATGTCCCAAAGGCAGCAGCAGCACAGAGCAGTCCAACATGCCGTCAGACAGGTACTCTCTCCTGTGTCATCCCTTCTTCGTTCTTCTACAACATACACTGTGGGAAGAAAGGGAGAAGTTTCAAAATGGCTGGGAACCCTCTAGGTAAAGAGCAGCAGCAGCAGGGAAGTGCACAGTCAGTAGCCAGTGCCTTTGCCAAACTAGCCAGCTGCCTTCAGCCTTTTGTTCATAGCATACCAAACTAGTTCAGATTGTTCTAGCTCTAGCATCTGTCAGGCAAGGCTCCTGAAACCTCTGCCAAACACTAGGCCCCTCCATCCCTTGAGCAAATATCTTTACTGCACAAGTAGTTATTCCACAGGAGAGGGGTCTCCTTAAGAATGTATGCGTCTTGAAAGAGGGCAAAAAGTTTCATTGTACATCTGCCAACAGGCAGGAGAAAAATTAAAAATAGCCCTGGGTCTCTAAGGGTGGCTGCCACCAAACTCCAGAAGTAGCAGCAGTTTGGAAACAGAAATAAATGGAAAAGGAGCATTCCTTGCCTCACTGTGGGTCAGAGAGTCACTTCCACCTGTGATCACAGCATTTCCAAAGGCCCAAAGCACAGCATTTCCACCTATGCAGAAGAAGGGGGCCCACCCAGGACTAGAAAAAACAAAATGGGTGACCATGGTTACACTTGCACGAGATGCTGGATTTCCATAGTTGGTGGGGATAGGTAAGAAGGGGGCAGTCATCTGCTTGCCAGTGTACATAGATGCTGATGACATAAATATGGTTTATTACAAAAGTTCAGCTGGTATCACGTCAGTTCAACACACCCAGCAATAGTTGCATGTATGGGTTATTGCACTCACAATCTATTCTGGGAAATCAGCATGTGACAGTGTTTACAGTCACTTCTCCACCTCTGGGTAAACTGTTACGGTAGCACCATCTGTGGGGAGATATATTTAGTGCTGCACAATGTCATATAAAGAACCACATGGCAAAGTGGGCAATCTTCCATCACACCCAGCATCCCAGACCTAGCTGCTGCCTCCGGTAACCCCACCTACCCCAAGAAAGCCAGAACTAGAACAGTTTACACTGCCCGAAGCTGCAAAGGGAGGTAAAGAGTCTGGACTACATAGGCTGGAGTGCACTATCACCTCAACCTACTGGACAGGCCATCTGCAGGCTCTTCATCCAAAGGACTAGGCCAATCATTGTACTAGAAAGGTTAAAATGGGACTTCTAAATGTGTTGTAGGAAGACTGAAAGCATGATGGTAACCTGGAGTCAGACTCGCCAGAATATTGGCATCTATCCAGCTTCCCGCTGCATTTGGTGCAACTCAATATATCCTACTTCTATGTTGTAGACTCCTTGTTTACTTGGAGCAAACTTGCTCCAAGTAATATAGGAGCAAACTAGACAGCTCCCAACCTGGGCACAGCATTCAGCAGTAGATGGAAGAGACATTCTACATGGACAGCACCATAAATTGGCCACCCAGATTCCTGTCCTGTAATCACAAGGGGCCTTGCCACATGCCACAAAATTGGCCTTTAAAGAGGCTTAAATGCCCTTTTGCACTGCTTTAATGGCACTGCTGTTTACACTGTTTACATGTAGCAAAATAAAACATGTCCAAGGTGTTTTAGTTTGCTACCTTAGTAGCTGTGGAGGTAAGCACTGGGCCCACCCTGTGCAGCTCAGGGGCTGTGCAGGTAGGCTTCACTGGGGGGGAGTGGCGAGCCTGATTTTCCCCTGCCCCCCGCCTCTCAGAGCCTGCCTGCTGGCCCACCTGAGCTGCGTGGGGGCCTAGTGCTTTCCTCCGCAACTGAGGTGCCCCCTTGACCGCCCAGGCCGGGTGTCTGACGGCATGTGCTGCCTGGGGGGCGGCCCACTGTGGAGGGAAGCACTGCCTCCCCTGTAGCTCAGGGGCTGCTCAACCCACCAGGAGCTCGCTGTCCTCCCCACCCCCGGAGAGGCAGGTAAGGATCAGGCCCGATCCTTGTGTACACGCCAGGGGGGTTTACTTTGGTTTAAATAGAAGAGGGTTTTTTTTTAAAACCCACCGCTTCCATTTAGTGAGAATTAAACCAAAGTAAAACCCCATGGCGTGTACAAACAACTAAGAAGGACTGCCTGGCCTACAGTCCATATCAGACACGGGCTGAACTCCTCGTCCCTTGGAAGGCTCTAAACTGCACTTGGGACAGTGCCTGCCTGGAGCGGCAGTGTTGGGAGAGGCTTGGGCAGGAAAGTGTTTCAAGGAAGTAATTTCACCCACCTGGGTATTATTAGCTAAAGGAGAAGCTTGCAGGAAGCAAAACAAAGCCCCATGGTTTTGTAAGTTTTTCAGTCAGGACATCAAGGTACATCCACACTGCAGAAGGCAGCACAGTGCAGACATTCATACTAGCATGGGTGCGAGTAGCAGTCCAGCCAGGAACTCCCAAGTTCTAATCCTGGCTCCAGCACCAACTAGCTGTGGAGCCCTGGGCAAATTACTTCCCTTCTGTACCTCAGTTTCCCCATCTGTCAATGGGGATCACTCCCTGCCACCTCCAAACACACAGATGCTGCAAGATGGCAAAGGGATCTGTTTGTTAGTGTATTATACTCCAAGTATCACCACTGTTACTGTTAAAGAGAGATATCCAAGTTTGCTCCATTACTATCTGAAAGAGAAAGTTGTTTTCTCCCAGCTGAAATCCCACTCTAATTGGACATCTAATTAGCAGCCTCTCCTCTGTATGCTGGAAACGTAAACACTTTACAAGGTGCCTCATGCTCTCTAGTCATAAGGCAGCTCCAGATGAGAAGTAACAAGGCTCAGGCAGGGCAGCCTAGTTCACTTGGCATCCTTCAGGGACCCAGAGTGCATCATTCACATATGAATTATAGCACTTGTCACCCTTCGTTCTGCCTCGGCTGCTGCAAAAGCAGATACATTGTCAAAACTGTTGCCAGCAAAGGCAGAGGAGCCTGTGTGGCAGCCCCAAGAAGGAGGCTGTCTACTTCCTTCTCCAGAACAGCAGCTTGAGGAGCGTTTCCACCTTGGCACAGCCTGGAGAAATGAGGGCTCCTTCCTGCAGCTTGTTCCAACATCACAGCTCACCTGGCCAGGTAAGAGAGATTGTGCTGCTATCTGCATGCTACCTATCCTGTGAGGCTCCTGGGTTTTCAAAGCAGTATGTGGAACTGCGAGTGCTGTTCTCCCTTGGGTACTATTTGGCCTTCATTTGCACACTGAATGACTCACACTCCTTCATGGATTTCCCCTCATATCCCCTGGGAGGCAGGGCAGTGCCACACTCCTGCTAGTCAGTCAGAAGAGAGGCAGAAAGGGCTTGTCCACATGGTGGCGAATCCCAGCACCAAGGTGTTCACGATCCATCCATGCCTGGGAGCACACCCCAAACTTGGGACAGTTAGGAGGTCAGGTTGTTCCAGGCCCTCCTCACCAACCAGTCAAAAGCCTGCTGGAAACTAAGGGGGTTTAGTGTGGATCTGGAGGGATGAGCCCATAGCAGTTTCTGTGGTGAAGCTTTGGATTTAAAGTGGAGTTAGACAATTACTTTGGGCAGAGGGCTGCTTACTGAGTTTTGGCAAGCCATTGCGGGCTACATGACAGGCAGCCAGGGGCAGATAAATATTAATTTTCTAAATGTTTCAGGGTCCCTGTGGCCTGGACAGAATGGCCTGGTGGGCCATTCCTGGCCCACGGGCAGCATTTTGCCTGCCCCTGGTTTAGAGCATGCCTGCAGGCAGTGCGGTAGGGTGTTTTGCCGCCCCTCAGTGCTAGAACTTGCTGCCACCACAGTGCAAGTGACCCCAGAGAAGCTATGTGCGTTGGGATGCAATCGTGCAGAACCCCCCCCCCCAAAACTATAGCACAGCAGGGAACTGAACTTAGGTCCCTGTTGAGTCCCTAGCCACCGCTGTGTTATCTCATGGATTCCAAACAGTAACAAATCCCTTTCCCCCTCAGAAAGGGCTCAAGGTAGAAAATTTGCTGCAAAAGATGACGGGGTGAGGGAGTCTATGGATAGAAGAGGTCTCAGAGACAGGAACTGTGGTTTTCATCTAGTTAGCACAGAACAAGCACCCACTCTTTCAAGTGCCACCATTGGCTGCATGGAATTTCAGTGGTCTAAAAGGCAAAGGGACTGGACCAGAGACAATGCTTTGCTCTCCTCCTCAGACGACTGATTCTGTCCAGGGTCAGTGAAGCAAACTGGGGATGAGAGAAGAGCTTGGACTTCCACTGGCCTCCCCTTGGGAAGAGTCTTGCCAAGAAGAGTCCTCTCAGTCCAAGCTCAGAACCAAATGTCTCCAAGTCCCTAGATTCAGAAATCACCATCTCTTCCCACCATCCTGAGAGGCTCTGGGGCATTGTTAAGCAGCTGCCATCTCCTCCCTATTTTAGAGGTGGGCTAAGTCATTCCTGTATATTCTTTATAGAGACTTAAAAGGAGAGGAAGGTGTAAGATGTGCATAGTCCTTTGAGATCCCCAGATCAGAACAAGAAATTACTACAGAGACCACCTTAGGGCCAGCAATGCTGTTAGAACTAGGCAAGGAAGGGGCCTGCCCTGCTTAGAATGCGTGGTGTTTCAGTCCAGTTGCCTCTGGTTTCTTTTCTGTGCTGACCAGGGCTATTCAAAGAAGCCAGATATCCTGCCATTCTATCCAGCTCAGATCCACTCCCATTATCCTCCTAAACATAAGGCCCATCCCTCCTCCAACAGATGATGGTCAGATTGATTCTCTGGATGACTTTCCTCTTGGCATAAACACAAAAAGCTGCAACAAGAAATCAACTCTGATGCCACACAGTGCCTTTGTACATGCCCAGCCAAGAGAATACAGAGCTATTCAGGAACAGGTAGGAGCAAGTACACAATCTCCATTTATGCAATCGAAGGAAGCATGCAGTGTGTTTTTAGGAGGCTGGGCATCCAAACACCTGCGTTCTTTTCCTGGGCCCTATCCACTGTGTCGCTAACATTTTGGTGTCTTAGTAACTTCTCTGCAGTGGGGGGTGAAAGGGGGAATAAGATATGAGACTATTATACATTTGCAAATGTACTTTGAGACCCTTGA